GTCAAAAGTTCGCCATTTCGACGCTGGGATGGTCGGATTTTGTCAACATCAGTAAAATGCCAAATAATCATACGTAACTCGTTAAATATCGAAGTTAGAAGAAAAACAACTTTTATTTGAAGCACTTCTCGCAATTTTGAAAAAAAAATTATAGGAAATGCGTTTTTCTAAGTTACATAAACTTTTGGGATTGACTGTATAGCCAATACATCTTTAAGAATAGATATTTCATTGCATCTTTTGACCGTCTCGAAGCAGCGATACGAGGTGATTTTCCACTTGAGAGCAATCAAACGTCGTTCAACGGTTCATCAATCACGAACGATCATTTTTAAGGGAACCAGCAGGAACTAGAAATGGAAGGTTATCGTAAGGTATGTACGTACACACACGATAAGGACTACCGTTTGCCAGCTTTCTCTCGTTCGACGGAAAACACGCGAAGCTACAATTCATCCTTGAATACTTTCAGGCATTAACTTAATCAAAGGACGCGGAAAATCTCGCGCCGATTTGCATATGAAACGAGCTCAAAGCCATGGATTGTTAAAAACGTTTCCTACGTACATACACAGTGGGCATTCAGTCATCCGTTTGAATGATGAATGACCCGGGATGAAACGTAATTGAGTTTTCCTTCTTTGTGCGACTCTTGCAAGGCTTACAGCGGCGTAAGCTATGAAAGCGAAATCACGTATCGGTTGCTGTCATTTTTTGATCGATTTGTCGCATGATTATACATCAACGATTTTTGATAAACTCGTTTAAAGACAAGCGTCATTACATCTTGTAGACAGTGGTCAGTTAAAAGATGATTTTATTGCGAATCATTTTCGATAAGTTTTTATAAACATCAATCCTTGTTGCGCCAATTATTTGTTCATTTATTTGACGTATCAGTAATTTGGTTTATTAATCGATTTTCCTTGCGAAATATGTTAAGCAATAATATAAAATCGTTTCTACATCAGATCATTTTAATCCCTCTGTATTTATTTCTTTATAATAAGTTAGGAAAGTGCACAATAAATCTCTGCTATTTTCCACTATTAGTATCTTGCACTTGCTCCCGATATCAAATCGGAACAAATTCCCATTAATTAATTATTATTCAAAGGTTGACGAGGTTAATCAGTGGCCACTAGCAGGCCAATCTTTATCACACGGGATAGCAAAAAAATAGACAGTGGTCAGTTCGATTTCCTAGCTTTCTCCTGTACGAATCACGCAATGTTCGATGATGCACTTCCAGTTTTGTACATTAGGTACAGATTGCGTAAAGTGCGGGTATGGTAGGTCAGGTTGCCACGCCTGGTTCGCGTTTTGGTCAATATACAAACGAGAAGTGAAATGAAAATATCATTTTCACTGTGCATTATCGATCTAGATATAGTTTCTAAAAACCGGGCGAAGATAAGGAAAAAGTTCACGGTCTTAAATTAAATGTATACCATAAACACTTCAGGTGAGAAGTGAAAGGGAAAGAGCGACATTTTTCACGCAGTCAACGTAAATTAAAAATGGAAATTTTTTCAATATCAAGTTTCCTCTCACTTTTTTAATTGTATAAATTCATTGAATCACTCGTTGACAAACAACACGCGAAGAAAGTATCAAATTATTTCATATATACAATATTTCGAAAGGTCGATTTGCGTCGAAGACTCATCATCGATAAAAATTGGCAAACAGACATCGAACGGTCGTGGACTTCGGGGATTGGGCTGAGAGACACAGAAGGTACGGGATTCCCGAACGTAGGTAGCGAAAGGGTTAAATCGGTCGTTCGGAGCAGGACACGCGGAGCGGGTCCAAGTCGGTCAAACGGAGCGTAGCCGAGCCGAGACGGGCGTCGCGTCGCCCCGCGTCGTCTCTGTCGGGTGACGCGTAAACAGATCGCTGTCGGAGCCGAAGATCGCGTGAACGGTTTCTAGGTGAGCGAGCAGTCGCGACCACTACCGGGTGTCGTGCTCGAAAACGGTCTCTGATGTCGGAGTGCGGTCGGTGTGGCGCCTCGTTTCGCGTTTCACGCCACCAGGCACCGGTCCAACCGACCATCGCGACGTGCGAGCGCTACTACTGGCTACTATGGCGAGAGAGAAGAGCGCGATGAGGGAACAGGTGACAGGTAAAAAACCGGGTACGACGGTAGCCCGCGAATCGCGTGGCGCACGCGAAATCTCGCCTCTCTCGTCTAGGAAACGTTTCGCGAAGATCCTGTTACCGGACACGCGGTGCACGCAGCCGGGAAAGTGAACACTAGTCAGATTAATAGGTCAAACACGCATACACGTGGAAGAAAGTCGCGTCGTGGATCGGGATTCGATTCGTTTTAAATGAGAAACAGAGGAGTAAAGTGGCCACGAGATAGGAGTAGAGAGTAATGGATTTTAATGGAGTTTTTGGAGATTAGTACGTGCACAGTTGTGGGATGAATGTTATTTGGAGTGAAGCACGATTGGATTGTAATGGAGCTTTTCGAGATTAGGATAATCACTGGTTAATGCTGAGAATTGAAAGTTTTCGGTATTTAGTCAACGGCGTTAAGAGACGGAGAGAAATTCGTTGCGCTTCTGCACTAATGGAAAATTACAATTAAAATACTTGTGGAGATTAGAGTAATTGGAGGGGTTCGATAAGTATAGAGGAAATTAAATATTTGTTTAATGGAGCAGCTGTCGAATTAATAACGATTAGCTAGTGCGTAATCTCCCTGAGATTCAGATAAGTTTTAGATACGCACTGTTCATTCGCAGGAATTCTCTAATTCGCACGTTTCGTTTAAAGATCAAGAATGTTATTACAGTTTGTCACCTACATTAGGAACTGGGGCTCTAGAGCAGGTAGTGTATATTACTATCACCAATACCGTTAGGTATTTCGTGTAACATTTATGTATCTGAGACTAATCGAACTCGAAAGAAGAATCGGCATACAACTTTCGCTACAGGTATTCCTCCTGCCTTCGGCAGCCTTGTGTAATAGAGAAAGAAAAAACTTCTTACTACCATAGACATTGTTCACCTACATATATAGAAACGTTAGAAACTAGAATAGTTAATTATAGAAACGTAACTTGTAAAAATACTGAACGTAGGTGGGATTAATCATAGAAGCAAATGGTTTGGGCCAAATTCTCGGCACTAAATTTACATCGATCTAATTATACGCTCGTTGAATTTAAACAATGAATCAAGAAATGTTATTATACCGAAACCGAAGAGTTTGTTTTTGGTAACTAAACACACTTCCCAAATTATTCCCGTACATTCCTAAAAATATTTATCCGATCGACAAACTACAATGTCCTTTATTTTAATTATTGATTCCGCGTGTGAAAGAGAATTTTTAATTAACGAGCGACCCAGTTAACGGATTAACGGTTTCGTAATGAAGCGATTGACGCTTCGGCTGAAGCGCGTCAAGAATCGTTCGCCGATTGGAGTAGAGACGATTCCGATCGACCACGCCACTCGATCGCCGCCGGTTCAAACGTCTTCTTTTAAGTATGTATCGTTAATGCTAGTCGCATAGGAAATACGAATAGTCATTCCTTTGACTTCTGATCGCTATCTCTGGGCTCGGTTAAAGCAAATTGCGATGCTTCAACTGATTGAGTGGTCGAGTTCATTGTACACCTTTCCTTTTTTTTCAGATCGTAGATTAGATTTGATTCGAAATACTATACTGTAATTAGGATCGCGAATGGAGAGAACAACTATCATTACTACTCCGATTTAAATTTTGTTCCAAGCAATTGTAATGCTTCATTCTACTTTCTTAATTACAAAGTAAACAATCATTTTAAAAACATGATCGCGTTTTAATCTAAATTAATAGTTGCGTTTAACACTCACCGAGCATGGTCCAGATCTCTCTTATTGCCAAGCAGCAGAGCGGTGAAGTAGGATGGCAATCGTAAATCAGCCAGTTGCTTCAGCAATCCGCGGGCTTCCTGAAAGCTTCGTTTGCACGTAACGCTGTAAACGATCACGAAAGCCTCGCCCCATCGTATGTGCGAGTAAAGGCAACCGTTTTCCTGGAACAATCGTAAAAGGGAGATTCGATTAACAGGAACAGGGTGTCAGTACTTTGAAGTTTTTCAATACACGGAAGGATCGTGAAAATTTCTAACTCCCTTACGTGTGTCACTGTGCTATAATTGGCAGTGAAGAATGTATGGTATCATAAATCATAGTCAACGAGCGAGCTATGAAAATCACGTAGGCGTAACATTTAGGAACTTGGAAAGTACAGAAAAAAGGTTTCGCCAATAATAATCGTGCCAACTTTTCTCGACTTTACGTAAGCCGCGTACAAAACGTTACGGTACGACTTGCAGCTCGGAGATCGGCGAATGAAATTTTCGATTTCACTCACGACTCGAAGAGGGGAAAAATCGCGTCTGTTATTGATCAACTCGCGGTTGGAAAAGGAAGATCGCGATGAAAAAATGATTTTCTTTTCGTTCGTACCAGTTCGAAATTTTACCGTCAGCGATGCCGGTTAATTAACACGTTAATCAACATTCCTGAACGAGTGGCTGGAAAGTTCCAATCTAGATCTTCGATGCGAGCGCGCTGTTTCACTTTGCTTAAACCTCGACTCGCGCTAATGAAGAATTATAATCAAAACGATTTACCGACGATTAACCCTACTGCGATCTCTAAATTAATTTCCTTTCAGGAAACCCGCTCTTAAGAACATAAAGGAAATCCAAGAAAATAGTAATAAAAATTTGTATCGGCCGGGTCACTCGTCTTCGTGAATTGAAATAGAAACGGTTCACGTGACCACGTTCTATTTTCAACAGACTCGGAGATTCACTTCTGACTTCGCGACCAATTACCTTGAAAGTACTTCCGGACTGCTCCAGAAGAAGACTTTTAGAAAGGAAGTTTCTCCTGATTACAAAATTATTAGTCTACCAATTGAACAAAAGCACTTGATGCTCTACTACCTGTTCCCTCGATTTCAATGGGCATCGGAACAATTAGAAATCGACCAAGTAGTCCACGCTGAGACAATAACCCGGTCGACCTTCCGCGGCGACCTACGATTTCCAAGTCGGGGAGCAAACGAGGGAGAACGAGAAAGAGCTATTGCCGCGTTCTAATTGCTAATGCATCGATCACGACGAAAAGAGCGAGGCCAAGTAGCCCGGTGGCGCACAGCAACGAGAATCGTTTCAGGTTTAACGACCCGCGGAAGCTGTCGCCTCGCGAGATGCTTTCCCATTGACCTGGCTCTTGACAGCCAGTCGATAATTATTACCGGGGAACAGGATCAACGGGATCGTGATCATTGGCTATCCCAATGCAAAGACGCCAGATTGAGGACGGGAGCCACCGAGAATCAACCCCTCCACTTACGCACACTATCGCACCGTATCCGTGTGTTCCGAGCTCGGCTCAACTTCGACTCAGTCAGTAGAGAGAGAAGGCGAAATATCAATCCATCGCTCTTGTTCCTGATGCGTTAAAGTCCAACAACATATGTAGATCGTCATTATTATTTATTATTATACTTTAAATATATATTTTGTCTTGAAGAAAGCTATCATCGAACAGCTATCATGGCATAGACGGTACTGGCAGAGTGATTATTTTAGCAAAGATTATCAAAGGAATCGAAAGTTCCAACAGTTGTCAGGAGCAAAATCGACGGATTGATGTTTCGCCTTCTTTCTCTATTGAGCCGAGCTCGGAGCACACGAATACGGTGCGATAGTGTGCGTAAATGGAGGGGCTGATTCTCGGTGGCTCCCGTCGTCAATCTGGCATCTTTGTCCCAATGTGTATAGGAAGGATTGGAAGGATCTGAGCGCATTAGTCTCGCGGGTTCGACCAAGGTGAACGCGGCCGTGAACCTTTCGATTCTTCCGCTAAAACCGCTGGCGATCGCTGGCATCTGGTCACCATAATTGGCGCGATCCACGGGACCCGGGGACGGCTGTCACAACGGGGGAAGAGGGATTTTTTGGCGAACGGAGGAAGAAACATCTGGCAGATCCGTCGAGGACGCGATCTCTGCCCGGGTGATTGATATGGGAAATAGTGTGGAGGAAGCGTACATATAGAGCTTCTCGATTAAGGAATTCAGTAAGAAGAGAAGGACGGATCCGAAGGGTTTTAGATTAGATTGAAACAGGAATGTTGGAGAAATGGATCGATATATCAAGATTCGTGGCAGTTTGTACTTGAACATTCTTGATATTGAAAGACGTTTAAATATTAGAAATGTTTGAATATTTTCAATCGAGACTAAATTCGTTGGATAATATCAATGATTTTCTATGTGTCATCACGCGGTATCTCGAAATGATGACCTGCCTATAGTGAACTCTGATGTTCACCTGGTTGTAAATTCATCGGGATACGAAGAAGGATATCCATAAATAACTCCGCAACTACCAAGGAAACTGACTTTTGCACGTAGTCAATCTTTCTATCCTCGTTTTTCAAACATCTCAATCACACTGGACGCTCGAAGGATTTTCTCACACCTACGATATTTCCATAAGCACTCCTGGCTGGAATGATATATTGAGGAACGGTTTGACACCGGCTAATCCATGATTTACTACCCACTTCCATTCTCAATTATCCAACGTCTCTACGGACATAGACACTTTCTACCCCCTCGCGCCATCGAGACGTAGTCTAGACAAATGCAAATTCTTTCGACGTCCTCGATCCAGACACACCCTTCGAAATCTATCAAAGGCCGTCCTAAGTCCTAAAACTGTATCTGTCAGTCAATTTCCCTGCAATCCGTGACTTCTGGCCGCGATCGCGCCTTAAAATAGCCGAGGAATTCCGGCGCCAGCCGATCGTCGCCAGCAACGTGACACGCGTCTCCAAATCACCTTCCAGGACTTAAATCGCTCATGCATATTAATTGACCGATTGTGCCCGAATCGCATCGGATTGTGCAACGCGAGGAGCGACACGCATCACGTTGAGAGGTTGCGAAAGATACTCGCGGTTTATCTGTGTGTCAATGCGCGTTTATCGCTGTACTCGATAAATACTGGTACGATTCATAACAATTCCTGGAACGGACGTGTAATTAATTAATGACGAAACGGATCGGTCACAGGCGCCCCAGCCGATTGATCGATCGAACGGTTATTCACTGTTTTCAAAATAACTAATTTCGTAAGAATTACGGAGAAATACGTATTGTCTGTTGACATTGTTTCGCAACTGGCTTACACGTGTTTAATTACGTAACTAAAATTCATCGACAGAAATCGAATTTTTCTACGATCGAGACGAAAGGTTGCTATTATTGAACGCAAGGACGGACATCACAGTTCACTGACGATTATCGGGACGACCAGTTTCGGCGGATTCCGATTACTGAACGCAAAACACGGAAAGCCGTAAAGGGGTCGCGGCAAAATGCGAGCGGTGTCGGTTTTTAATGACAGTGACCGTTAACAGGACACTCGAATAGGGCGAAACGAGGCAGCGAGACTCGTGCTGTCCATTTGAAATCGATTCAGGTGGGCGAGAACCGCGCGCTTTAACGCCCACGCGATCCCGCGGGATAAGCGACGATCGTCCCGGACAAGTTATATCCCCGCCGCGTATACCGTCGCCAGATAACGATCCGCCGCTATTCGTGCGACCACGTACCGATATTGTCTGCTAATAATGCGATCCTCGATTACAGGACTGCGCTTTGTTAACTCTCCGCCGGATTCTTACCGCGAGTACGGTAGAATTCCGGTACTCTGAACGCATATTTAAGTCGTTTGCGAAACTCCTAACTGCCGCGCGTTTCATTTTAATTCAATTTATACAAATGATGGAATACTGAGTAGGCGATTTTATGGTTTTATAGAAAAATTGCATCTAATACACAAAATGAGTGCATGTTTCGATACTTAAATGATAAAGAAGCTACTAAGATGCATTTTGGATATCATAATTGTTTTACTTTAAACAAAAACCCGCAGTCTGTTGATAAGAACAAACCGACATGATTGCGGTAAAACGTTTATGTAATACAATTTTTTGAAGATCGCTCGTCCTGCGTTATCTTAAGCATACGGTTATAAACATTTTACGGGTCTCTGAATAATGGTAGAGCGAAGGTCTCTGAAATCACCATAAATTTAAAGTCTACTTCGCAGGCTAACGATCGCGTTACTACTGTTTGTCGTTGTTTCGAGGAAATTACGCTTGGACAAATAATGGTACATCGTAATGACAGAACCAGTCATTATCTTTGCTATGCTCGTGTTGCAGTCTTCACTGCAGCCTTGTTATGCTGCACGATAAAAGAGAAACAAATCGAAGGAAGCTTTCGTACGAGACCTTCCGTATAAAAAAGAAATGTATTTCCTTCTTCCTTACAATTTATAATCAGACTATCTTTGGAAGTAATCTTGAACCTTGGAGTTTCCTTCCTTGGTATACGTCGTATTTATTAAATTCGACAGGTGATAGATCTCGAAGATCAAAATCCGATTATTAACTCTTGGATGAAGGAACACGTCACCTCGTCGGATATCTTAATCAATTAAATCAATCGCCCGGAAGACGAGAGTTTCTGATCTCGATTTGGTAATTTAATTAGTTTCTGTCCTGACTACTGATTCAGATCGTGGATGGCGAGTCCGTAGACGAACGTCGGTTATCTGTGTTCAAGTATTATCGTAGCTATCCCTTGAGAAGTTGTCGGATCTTAAAATGTTAATTTTAGACGACAACTTCTTGAATATTAATAGCGAAGAGATAATCTAGTTGTGACCTAGATTTTAAACGGTACAAGCTAGTAAAGTTTTAAGTAGTTATTTTTAAATGTTTTTAGTTTTAGAAAAGATGACGCTGGCACGTTGGTTTATATTAGAAAAATAATTGAATTTTTCTCTCATACCAGATGAAACTTTAGAGAACACTCGTTCCAAAACAGTTAGACATCTCCGTTCGGTATAAAGAAAACAAGATAGACTCGTTCCGCCGCGGTAACCAATTTTTTTAATTACATCTCCCCTATCGAAGACCTCCCATCACTTAAACAATCTCC